TTGGGATTCTGTTTAGATTGAGAGAGAAGCCGATGATTTCTCTCGTGATTTTTAGTTAATAATATACGTAAGAAATGAATGAGAAAACTTAAGAAAATAAAAAGTTAACATCTAGAAAAGAAAAAAGTCATATTTTAGGCTTCAAATCACGTGATGCACGGTGGTATTTTTAGATTATTAAAAAAAAAAAATCTAATCTATTGATATTCTTAAGTGAAAGAATTTGGCATTCAAAAAATTTAAAAAATATATATATATTTAGTTTAAATATTTAGTCTTTGGATTGGTTTACATTGAATGCTCATCTTATATTTAACCTCATATGTTAAATTTTTATATGCTATTAGGTAATCTCATTTTTATCAAACCTGATATTATTAACTTGCTTGACAAGTTTTAAAGATTATATCAAGCCTGCATGTACATGTACCATACCCTGGAATATAATTAAGTTTACCTGACAAGTAATTCAAAATTACACGCATAAGAATAGGCCCTACCTTGTGGTTTCCATAAAATCAAAACACAAAGAAGCTCTACTTAACATTTTTAATAAAATAATGCTAAAGGCGCAAGTTACACCCTTAATTTTTTTTTTTTTGCAGGGACAAAAAAACAAAAAGATTTAAACTCAACTGTGGCAAGATGAAAAATCCTAAACATAATTGATTTCTAGTTCTACCACAGCTATTGAAAAATGTTATAGTCCATATTATTAATTAATTTGAAGTTAAATAAACATATTTTATGTTCATACCAACATGTTAAATTTTCATAAATAGTAGAAGTAGTGCAAGCACATGTTGCATCAACCGGTTGTCATGTCAAGTAAAATGTTTTTTAGATGTAGCTTTTTTTTTTTTTTTTTTTTTTTTTTAAACATTAAGAATTGAACTCAAATTTGATACATCCAAACTTACATGAGAAGCCTATAATAAGGAGATAGTGATCACTAGGCCACTAAGATATTTTCTTTGATGGTAGCTTTCTTAACATTATAATTAGAAATATAATTAATTAAATTTGCTAATTTACTTCAGCTACAAGGTAATTAATTAGGCAAGCACGAGAAATGTGTCGGTGTGCATTAATTTGAATTATCTATATTCAACATTAATTATCAATTATTATATTCTTTCTCGCTAAATATGCATGTTTGTCGTTTACTATAAAAATAAATACATGTTTGTCGTTTTCTTGAGGTTCAAAAGGTTGCGTAGTGAAACTGACAGTCTTGAACCGGAGAAAAAAATAATTAAGATTTTTTATATTAAACTGAAATAGTAAAATACTTTTGAATTGTGCTAAGTACTTATGTATTTAAATAATATTTTTAATAAAAATAAAAAATTTGTAAATTAAGTTTTTTATAATATGTAAATAAAATTAGTTAAAAATAAAAAAAATTTATTTTTGATTATATAATTCAAAATTTAAAGATAAAAAAACTTTAAATTATTCAACTTATTTTGTTTGAGCAATCTATCTTTTTTTATACATATGATAATAATAAGTTTTGTAAAGGTAAATAACTTTTTTTTTCTTTAAATTCATCTCTATTTAATTTAAAATTTAAATTTAAAATTTTTAATTAAAAATCTTAAACTTTTAACT